CGTCGTCGTGGCCGACGGAGCCGCCTCCACCGCCGCCACTGTCGCCACTGCCACTGCCGCCGTCGACTGTGGTCATGGTCGCCGTGTTGTACGGCCGCGATTACCTACCACCGTCACCGCCGCCGCCGCCGCCGCCGCCGGTCCCGCTAATCAACATTAACCCACGCCACTGACGACGCCCCTCCGACACCGCGACACGGACAGAATAAATGTTCGCGGGCGAAGAGAGAGCTGTCTCTTTTCCGCCCCCGTGTTCTTATCTCTCTCGTATTATCTCTTGTGCGTTTGTTTTTCCTATTTTCCCTTCCTCACTAAACGACTACACGCTCACGCACACTTATAGGTATACCTGGTATACGATTATTATACCCATTACACACCACTCGCACGCGATTTTTTTTCCTCCTTTTTTTTTTCCTTTCTATCTCTCGCCAAAATCACTCTAAAAGATTATCCTTTAGTTGGTTGTTGATTTTTTTTTTTTTTTTTTTTTACATCACTTTATTTTGTTCTCGTCGAATGCAAGTTTTGTTTTAATCCGTGGATCGGTAAATGTCATTTTTTTAATTTTCTTGGATTTTCGTCTACACATATGTAATTTTATTGGACGGTTCCAAGAAACGACAACGGAACACGCGCATGTTCGATCATTAATGATCAATTCAAAAAAATTAAATTTCGATATCATGGACTTTTTTACTGTTTTCGTGTCACCGCCACTCCCCTTACTCTATAGTTACTCGTACGATTATAAAATATAAAAATTTATATTGGGTAAACACTTATATCTCAATACTCGTTATCTCCGACTTGCTCGTCAATAACAAAGCAAATTTTACGTTCAAAAGAATCAATTTCATACTATTATTTCATTATAACAGAGAATTGACCTTTTATCAAATTTAAAAGTATAAAATATATAGTAACATTGTTAAGACCATTATTAAACTTACAATTAAATTAAAATTTCAAAACATTCACATTAAATTCCTTCAAAATTAAAATATATATAGGTATAAAGTGATAGATAATATATTTTTATTTTTAATTAGAAAATAGGTATATTTACTGTTACTGTTAATCTTTTGGAGATGAAATTTTTTGTTTTACATTAGTAAGACTGATATACACAAGCGGATACGACGTTATTTGCATACTATATTTTTAAAACTTTTAAGAATATATCGATGGGACAGTCAATATATTATATATTATAATTTATTTTTATTTATGTTTCCTGATTTCCTGGGATTAGAGCAGCTCTTTATATTATATATATATATATATAGGTTTTTGTAACTTTCTCTTTTCTTACATTTTCAATATTCTTTGAGCGTATGGTTATTGATTTTTCTTAAAGTAAATATTTCACTTTATACTTTATAGATATACTAAATATGTTTGCAATACTTTTTTTTTTCATTTTCCACTGTAGTCATTTTATGCCACGTAACCACGTAATATAATAGACATTATATTTGTATTTACTGTTCATATACAGAAGTTGAGTAACAAGACATAATATTATTTATTTTACATTTTTAGAAATTATATAATAAAATACTTATGAATTATAATAGTAAACGTGTGTCTTCATTAATAAACAAGTCTTGTAAACTATTAAATTATTAAAATTCTTTTATAAAATGACATATTTTGTATATGAGCACTTTTAAAATTTAAACCGACCTTGTAGACATAAAAGTTTACATTCAAATAGAAAAATAAAATAGAAAATAATGATCTACAGAGGTGCATACATGTTGAATATATATTTCAAATAAAAATAAAATACGCATTTTTATAACTTATAGTTATCTGTATATTGTTTTAAACTTAAATTACGAATACAAATTTTTCATATTTTTAATGGAAAAATAAATGTTTTAAAATAATTAAAAACTTTTGCAATTTACTATTAAAAAAACAAAAAAACTAGATTAAAATCTTGAAAAAAATGGTTTTCTGGTTTACTCTGTTATTGAAATTACAAAATTACTCAGATATTTTAATAAAATTAGACATTATATATTGATACCACTATTATTATTATTTATTTGTTAATTAAATTTGGGTAATATATATTACGCATATCCCCTATAATTTACCAACACGTATACCCACAATCGGCATCTCATACCATACTATATATTTTTTATGTAATTTGTATGTAATAACACTAATAAAAATTTATTTTGAAAGATTTCTGTTTAGAGGTATATTGCATAAAGTGAGAATGTTTGATATTATTATCTACTCGCATAATATTTTAAACTGTTTTATTTTACGAAAATAAACTCAATGCTAAAATATGGAATACTAAGAATACTTTATAGAAACTTAAAATCGATAGGATGTACTTTTAATACAAGTATTATGTTATTTTAATGGTCACATGATATTATTAATTACTCATAAATTGATATATTATTATGACGTCCTATACGCGAAGTCTACAGTTGGTGTAGTTTCATTAACGTCACAAAGATCCGATAAATTATTAAATAAAGCTGGTTGGTGCTTTGCAGAAATAAGTGTATAGAGGTATGGGTGAGGGATTTTTTGTGAGGATGAGGAGAGGGGGCACGTGACGCAAAAACGGAACGTTTGAAAATGACAAATTGGTATAGCTAAATACGCAGCCGCCGCCGCTGGCACGACACGGCGGTCATGGATATATATATATAAATAAATATGTCGTAGGATTATTCGGGCAAAATGATTAATAGCTGGGTGGTGGCATGTGATATCCTCCTCGACTCTCGAACCACAACCGCTCCTCCGTTTTGTCACTCTTTGCCTGTAAACGTTTTGTGTTTATTTTCTTGGTATTTTTTATTTTACACCCAAACATATCTAAACAACCGCCATGCAACAACGACACTCAGAGAGGCTTTTTCTCGTTTTAAAACCACCGTCTTCAGTTCTCAATACACTGGAGCAGCGCACCCCTTCAACTGCCTCGGTTATGCTATGGCCACAACTTTTTTCCCTCTTCTTTTTCCTTTTCATAATATTACACTCATATATATATATATTTAAACGTAACGAGTTTATTATAAAGTATTACGGTACTTATTACTATGCTAAACCACGAGATTGGATTTCCATTAGGAAGCAACCTGCAGGGTTGTGGACATAACTCACGCATGTATATTCAGATCCAAAAGATGATTGTTATTTATTATTTTTTTTTTTTACTTTTTCGTAAATTTTGATAACACTTTTTTACAATAATGAGTATTCTGTGCAAGCAATTTATAACCAATAAAACTGCATGAAAACAATTTCTTAACTTAATATTGACCACTGGAATGTTTATCATTTCTTATTAGATATAATATTGATTTTTTTTCTATTTGACAAAGTAAATTAATAATAATAATAATAATAATAATACTATATTTTTTGTCATGCATTTTGAATGAATTATGATATTAAGCAATTATATTAATAAATTAAATTATAAAAATTAAATTTGTTGATAATTCTAACAAATTTAATAAAAGTTAAATAAATAATATTATTTAAGCTGTAATATATATATATATATATATATATATATAAGTCCACGTAATTAAATGAGGATTTTGAGTTGACATCAGATAAAAACACATTTTCTGAAATGTATAGGTACTAATTGTGTTTAACTACCCATTGTGTTAGTTTTTCCTTGTAGGTACAAAGTAAAAATAATATAAAAACAAAATAATTAACACCATAGTATATAAAATAAAATAATTTTCCTGTTTTATAAAAAAATACTATTCGAGGTAAAAAAACCCACTGTACCTTGTCAATCTTAAATATTTTTAATCTATTAGTAAGGAATGATGAGAAACATTAAACGTTATTTTGATATAAAATATTTCAATAGTAGCGAGTATAATTATAATTATTATTAAGTATATTGTTAGCCACACTTAAGTTATTTATAAATTTACGAACTGAACATGTTAATACTATTATCTGTTGCATGCTATTGTCTATACCGTCACTGTTCATTACTAGGTACATGCAAATAAAATATTTGTACTGTCATGTTTTAGATTCCTATACCATGCAGACCACAAAAAACATTTTCGGTTTTGGTGTATGAGATCCCTGAAGACATTCCTGATGAAGACATTCGGCATTCATTGTATAAATTTCAAACTGTCGTCGAAGTTGTTAGACTTTATCATGCGGGTAATTATTAATTTATTAATTTAAACTATACAATGCAGTAAAATTATTCTAGTTCACTGAAAAACGAAATTTATACACGTAATAATTCAATATTATATTAAGAGTCCAATAGTTGTATATTTTTATTAGTATATTTGAATTCATAATCTGCGATAAATACGTTTTATTATAATTAGAAAAAATAACGATTAACCATAAAAGGAATGTTTTTATACTCGTGTGGCTTTTATTGTTTAATATACGGTTTTAAATTGGTAAGCTTACTTTTACTTAAAAATTGATATGAAGTATTATTATTCTTATAAAAATAAAATTTTACTTAAAATAACTTTACTAGTTTACCATACATATTATGATGAGTCATGTTTTGCGAGTATCCATCAATACCATACAAGATATATACATTATATCTTAAAATAATAAATAATATTTTATAGGTAGTTGATAGTAAACACTATATTAGTAAATTACATGATATATTATATGGCATAAAATAAGATATTTAATACTCAGTTATATGTTTTAAAGGTGATGACATTAATTAATTAAATAATTAGTTCGTGTTTACATAATGTTTGTACACGGGTAATCGGTTTTGTTCGTAATTCGAAAGTTTCCGAGGGAGTATTACTCAAAACGATAATAATAATAACTTACCATGTTGGAACATCATTAAACATTACTAATGTAAACTACCAAAACAAATTCGATGTAATGTTTAAACGTCAGTTATTTAACTCGTAAAACAACAGTATTAATTAATCAAACCTCTGAACACAATAATATTACTTACTGCGTGCAAAAAAAAGTTTGAAAATTTAAAATTAAATAATTTGGAAAAATCGACAAAATTAGTTTTTGAAGATTTTTAATTTTTAAAATAGGTACCTGCTAATGCTATGGAATAAATATTTCAATTATTAATCTTAATTCAGTGGATTTTTGTTGTTGACACATTTATTATTAAGTATCTACTCAATATGCAATAATAGATTAATAATTTAAACCAATAATTAGTATGTGCACATTATATAAATGGATTAAAGTCATTATAATGCATATACTTATAAGTAATATATATATATCGTACTATTTAACAAAATTCAAATAAACATATTATGGTTTTATTTGCCAGTGGACGTTACTTGAGTGAGCGTCGAGCCTTACATGAATGTTTACCGTAACTATCTTACACACGTATTATACCATAAAGTGTACATTGTACATTGAAAAATAAATTAACTAAAATAATAATTAATAATTAAAAGTTAGTTTAGGACTGTAACGTAACAAGGGTTTAGCAAGAATTATAAAAATTGAACTAAATGACATAATTTCGGACATCTCTGTACTATTTTTTACCATTGTTTATTGCAATATGTAAATAATATTTTTACATTTTTTAATTATTTTATATTTACAAAGTTTCAACTTTTATAATATATTTAAAAAGTACTATAAAAATAAATCTTATAAGTATAAATGTACATTAAAAAAATTGTCTGATTTCATTTTAAATTTTGTAGAACATAACAGTAACGTTATTACAAGTTAAAATTAAATCTTCGAGATGTTTATATATATACTAATTCAACATTGAATACCGTATTAGATATTATTGATAAAATTTACAATCTAGTGTCTGAAGTCTAGACCGATCTCAGAAGATAAAAGGTGTTGCGCAATATAAAACAAAACGAAATGAAAAAAATAATATGAACAGATGAATTATTACTTTAAAATAATCTATCACGTAAAGATGAAAAACTCTTTTACCACGACCAGTTGCAGTTTGGTCATTTTTTCAAAAACTTATGCTATAATATAGTAGTTTGTACGTGAAAATATACGTCAGTTTCTAGTTATCTCTGACGTTATCCCTTCTACTCATAGCTACTTCTTATATTCTTCTTGTAAATACATCATATCGACAATATATTACATGCGTACGGGAAATATTGGTTTTCGTATTTGAATATATTTCTGTTTTCTTTACTTCTATACAGATATATACTTTAAGAAAAACATCATTATGTATATGTTATATTTTCCATATATGTTTTTCAATACTCGGAAAAGAGTATAAAACGAAATACTTTTGAAAACTATACGCAGAACATATCACTAGCATATTATAATATATACGTATATATTAATATACGCGTGTCCGACGGCAATGCCTCTGCATGGGTGTCGGATTAGGCTCGTAAAGAGTATTATTTTTATTTTTTTTTTTTTTCACCTCTACTACTCTCAGTCACTCACCTACTCACTCATTCACATGCTAATCACCTACCCGATACGTGGAAATAATGTTTACTGGTTCTTATTATTTCACCCGAGGGTGGATAAGTGGTGAAATACCACCTCGAAATTATAATAAATTAGTCTGCATGCATCCAATAACAACCATCACTGTATAAGATATATCTGCTGAAAAAATTATTTTCTCTCTAACTTTATATATATAAGCACTTAATATTATGATAATATGCGATATTATAAAAGTTCAAAATAATTTGTACTTTTTTTTGTTTGAAATCTTCACTCATCAATTTAAGGAGTGCACAAAACAATTTAATATTAAGTAAAACTAGAAAAATTAATTAAAAATAATCAAAAATAGAGTAATGAAGAAATAAAATTAATTTTGCTGTAGAAAATTAAATAACTAAATTATCTAATGCAGTAATTTTTAAATAATTAAATTTTAGAATATTTTAAGTAGTGTAACTCATTTTTATTGCAGTAAAGTTAGACAATAATATGTACTGTGAAATAAAAAAATATATTTCTTTTCATACTAAAAAGAAAAAAAAATCAAAAAATTATAACGATTAATGTTTAAAAAAAATATGATACTACTTTTTAATTAATAGTAAAAACTTTTTTATTAAAATATTTCTAAAAACGTTTATACTTTTCTAGAAAATTATCCCAATGCAAAACAAAATACGAGTACTATTATAATTATATAGCTGTCTTGGGAATTGAAATCCAATACCTATGTATCACATCCAGGCTGAGTTGTGGTTCATATACAAGTATTATTATAATAATACAATAACATAATATATATATATATATATATATATTATAGTTGTACCACTATAGGCTAGGATTCACTGCGACAATAACTAAATTATAATTCTTGGTCCTTCGACGCTCAAAACATGTTTATAACCTTTCGGACGTATAATAACATTATACTGTATTAATTATTCCTTTAATATATGTATACAAAACATAACTTTCTGATTAGTTTTAGTTTAACTTAAATGAAAATTAGAATATTGAGTCCATACCTAATCACCCGACTTAATTCAGTTCCAAAAAAATCCAAGTAAAATAATTTGTATAATACAATAGATTATTATGAATTTTTATTGATTAATACTTTAATTTAAAAAAAAAAATAATAAGAAATATTTTTTAAATGACTTTTTAGATATAACTGTTTGCTAAATATACAGTAATTATAATATTCATAGCCATAAGCTTGGCTTTTATAATTTAAAATTTTTGTTCAATTTCAGAAAATCGTTATTAGATTTATTATGCAACCATTTGTTTGAATAATAATAAAAATAAAAAAAAAAAAAAAAAAAAAAAAAAACATAACTAATACAAGTGATATTTTAATAACAATCTAAAAAAATCGTTGATTAAATTATAACTTCTAAACTCGATCAGAACTTTTCATAATACGAATTATACGGTAGAATATTGGGAGAAAAATTCGGTTTATTTAAAACATTTGCATCAATGTAAAAAGAACGTTAAACGGTTCCCCTGAGAGACGATATTATGTAATAACAACTACGTACAATTATATTTGCCCAGTACGTATAATAATATTGTATACAGTAGAATAGCTGCCTCGAGCATTGGAATTCGATGCATCTTTTCTGTGCTTGATTATATTATATTTTATAGTCGTTGTAATCTTATGTATATACATATATATATATACTTGTTTTATACCACTGTGGTCTATAATATGCTATAACAGTATTGTAATCGCGCATTCTTTAGATGTCGGCACGCAATTGTTTATTAGTTTATAACTCTACGAAATGAATATCGGGTAGAATACATTCAATGTCATATTATTTGTGATAGAAGCAATTTAAATTTAAAACATACAATTTTAGCTAAACATCGTGAAATGCATCATGTGATAAACATGTCAGATGGCTGATGATTTTTTTTTTTTTATTTTGATGAGCAGTGGGTATAATATTAAGATATTACGTTTTACGAGTACTAGGAATACAGTAAAACAATATGTGTTTTCCATAAATAAACCAAATTCTATTATAGATTTCTATAGCTATGACCAAGTTAAATCTTTTTACATAACATCATACCATATCTGCCAAACATTAAAAAAATAATAAAATAAAATATATTTATACAACTGAAATTTAAAGTTATTTTAAAATGTTTGACAATAGTGTTGTATGCTGCAGTATATTTTGAAATCATTTTATTCAAGTGAATTTTAATAGTTTTTAAGACCACAAATAGAGTAAGGAAAATAAAACACTACAATTTTTAGTAGTATTATTTAGTTGTTTAAATCATTAACTACTATTTTAAATCGTTATTATTGTACACTGTTGCAATTTTCCAATAATTTTCGATATAATGTAAACGCGAAAAACTATCGATATGCCACCAATAAAAATATGTAACCCGATCGCGGAAAAACTATGCTATAATAGCTCTCTGGTGCAGAGTAATAAAATAATAATTTTATACGTACACGCCACGGCCGCCGTATTTTCAATGACCCTTGTTTACCATATTGTTTGACTATTTGGAAATAATATACATAGGCTACATCAAAGTTAAAATTCGAGTATCATGCCAATGAATTTTCCTGGTAAATATAATATTACAGTTATATTCCCTTATAAATAATATATAATCATGCATACTATTATTATCGGGTATTATTGTTACACAGTATATTGCAATTAAGTTGATAAATATTA